AGCGTTTAGGTAATCCTCAGAGTGCGTTGTCTGTTATAAATCGCAGGAGGGCGCACCCTACCGATTTTCTGATTGCTCGCTAATACCTTTAAGATAATACCGTGTTTATTAAAAACAATTGATTTATTTAACACATATTAATTATATTATATATTTTTGCGTATCTGAACAACACAAGAACGTTTTGAACAGTATAAGAAACATTCAAAAACATAGTAGGTCTAAGATCTCTGTGATAGCTGTGTGATTGTTGCGTGTCTGAACAACACAAGAACGTATTTGAACAGTACGAGAAACATTAAAAAACATAGCTGGTCTGTGACCTCTGTGATAGCTGTGTGATTGTTGCATATCTGAACGACACAAGAACATATTTGAACAGTACATGAAACATAAAAAAACAATAACAAAAACTTTTGCAGGCAACCCGTTTTAAGTTTATTTCCATATTAGATCCACGCCAATACTTGAAAAATGGTTTTATTATTAAGTATTTAATAGAAAGGGGTTGAGATCATTTATGTATAATACGTATTTATATTAATTAGTTAATTAATTTATTTATTTAAATAAATTAATTAACTAATTCATATAAATACGTATATAATATAAAAATTATTAGGGATGCAACGGGCCATTTATTGATTTATACCATTATATTTTTTCATTTATAAAAAGGCATATATTTTATCAGTAAAGAAAAAGGGAAAACTTAAACTCCCACTCTAAAGCTTTCTCTGTTAAACGAAGGGCGTTTGAGTCGTGGAGTGCACAATGCAATGCAATTTGAAACTAAATTGATAACATAAATCGTCATTATATTTGACGTTCTATATTGCAACGTTGCGTAATTGTAATTACATATAATAATTTTATATATTCTATAACTTTGAAGACATTTTGTATATTACATACATATTGTTATAAGGTTTCTCTCTATACATACATACATATATATAATTAACTTATAATGGTTTTCATTTACCTATGCGTGAAAGCTCTACCTATACCCACCGCACTCTTTGTGAATTAATATCATATATATACATTATACATATATGTGTGTGTGTTTGTAATTAAACACTTTCGAAAAGGCTACGGTTTTACCTAATTTTTGTGTATGTTCAAGGGGATTCGAAAATAATTGAGAAGTACAATTAAATGATTAGTGGTTTTCGTTTTTAAGTTTTACAACGCCCTTCATCTCCGCTAGAAGTTACAAGACTATGAAAATATATAACATTTCACGTACAAACGATTGTTCAGGATTTTCATTTACATTCTAAATTTACAGGCATTTTAAAATTCTTAAGAAAGTAACTCAGCCGCATTAATTATTAGCATTTCTATCTATTAAACAAGTGCTAGGTCTGATATGTCAGTTATTCAAAATACCAAACCGCACATGGCGTGGCAAATGTGTGGCGAACAATAGGAAAAGCCCCCATAAGTGGGGCCATGAATTTTGAGCTGCTTGCTGCAAGGGCCAAGATTTATTACCTTTTACATGCCATTTCTATTCACGAATGATATAAAACTTGATAGTGTATATCGGATTAAGTATCGTTAACTAGACTAGAGTAGATTTTGGAACACTCATGACATTATGCTATAATATATTATAATACTTGCGGATCCGACAGACGTTGTCCTGTACACGCGTCTTACATACAAAAAAAAAGGGTGCGTGTACTTATGTACGCGCGTAAGAAGTTATACTTCTTTGGCATTATTAAAATAGTTTTTGATTGCATGCAAATAGTTAATAACAATTAAATAATCAAAGACTGGAAAAGGAGTCATTATAGTCAATAAACTTATGTTTACATTCGAAAAATTAAATAAATAAATATTTATTATTATTCTTTTACATTACGTGTAACATAAGTTCTATTATTATTCGAATGTTGTTTTTAAATTATGTCCATTGGCGTAGTATCTTCCGTGGGCAACTTATCATTCTGTTAATTTTGTGTCACGGTGCGCGTGCATCGTAAAATTTCACTCTCATCAATTTTTCCTAACGCGCCTAAAGAAGTATAACTTCGAAAAATCTAATAATGTAAATCATTCTCGACATCACTTAAACACACAAAAAATTTCATCAAAATCTGTCCGGCCTTTTAGAAGTTTAATTACGAACACTAGCACATAAGATTTTATAAATAGTTCAGTTGCCGACTGCAGGCCATCTTCCGGGCTGATTTGTGAATCGAAACCATCCAGGGAGCAAACCAAACCGATACAAAAAATTCATTCAAATCGGTCCAGCCGTTTAAGAGAAGTTCAGTGACATACACACGTGCAGTAGATTTATATTAATAAAGAAGATATATTTATATAAGGTAAAATTTTATGGGGTATAGGGCTCTTAAATAATAAATACCGTTGCTTAATATATAATTACCCTTTGTATATACAGTTTATTTTAGAAGAGGAAAAACAAGCATATAGCGTATACCGAGATGCAATACTGGCGCTGCGAATAGGTATCGCCGAAGCAAAAAATAAAGCATGGCAAGAACTGCTTGACACCCTGGAGGGGATCCCTGGGGACGCCCGTATCAGATAGTCACAAACAAGCTACGCTCGTGGGTCCCGCCACTCACGAAAAACATGGAACCGGAACTGCTCAGCGCAGTGGTTGCGGAACTTTTTCCTGAACGCGTGTAAATAATGTTAAAAATTGTATTATATAATATATAGGTATATATTTTTACACGAATCTAGCAAAAAGATTAAATATTTTTGTATAATTACTCAAAAAAAGACGAAATCACCCTCTGCTAAATGCATTTAACACAACATAATTTTCATTGATTATATATTGTGTAACTCACCATTAGACAGTATGTGAGTCGACTAAAACGTCACCATATTCTAGAGCTAGAAGACCGGCAGTAGCTCTAGACAGAAGATGAGTAGATGCTTCCAATGGGAAGTCACTCCACATGACAGCACCACAGAAAAAATTCGCTCATAGCCTTGGGGCTGATTGCAAATAACCGCAGAAAAAAAAAAAAAGATATATTGTGTATAAAATTACGCCAAAATGAATAATTAAATTCAAACCATCTTTTCGCCTGAGAATTGAAAAGGGCAAGAAAAATAATGTATCCAATGGGGAATACGACCATTGTTCAGTCGAGTTGTGTGATAAACACTTACAAGGGTCCCATAGAATTATTTCCTCAGCTTTAACGTACTAGAAATAAAGGCTACAATTCAATAATTCTCAGAGATATTTATACAGTCTCCAAATTTATAGTAAGAATATTCAGTGCGTTCTTTTTAGCTTCCTTAGCAGTGTTGGCCTAGTAAAATATGTTTATTATGGAACATAAGATACATGTATCATTTATTCCACGTCATTAAATTTGAAGGCATCCCTACTCATCGGCAAAGAAGACAGAGGGTGTAGGCCGAGAGAAAAAGCCGGCGTAAAAAACTCTCGGTACTCTTTTAAAACAGCAAATCATCAAACAACACTTATTTAAAACAAATATCGCAAATTAATTAGAAGTAGCCTGTCTAGCACTAGTCCCAGGCCCTTTTATCAACTAGATAATCGTTGACTTTAATGTAAGCCTTTTTACACAGCTTTTCTTTAATACATTTCTTAAATTTATTGAAAGGCAGTGATAAAAGAGCCTCTGGGATTTTATTAAAGAAGAGTATCCCTTTCCCCAAAAAAGAATTACTAACTTTAGATAGTCTAGTACGGGGAAATTGCAGCCTGCGTTTGTTCCGTGTATTAACATTGTGCGTATGTTCTATTCTAGTAAACTTATCACTATTTTTGTATACATACATAATATTTTCATAAATATATTGCGAGGGAAAGGTAAGTATATTAATTTCCTTGAATTTATCTCTAAGAGATTCCCTACATTTTAAATTATAGATTGCACGAATAGCCTTCTTCAGCAGGATGAAAGTGGTGTCTTCTCATCCCTGAGGTCGTAGGTTCGATCCCCTGCTCACCAATGAACTTTCTTCATATGTGCGCATTTAACATTCGCTCGAACGTTGTGAGGGCTTGTTTAGACGCAAAACATCGACAGGGTGTGTCAGGCTCATTTAGGCTGATCACTTACTTGCCTATTAGATTGACAAATGATCATGAAACAGATACAAATCTGAGGCCCGGACCTTGAAAGGTTCTAGCGCCACTAATTTATTTTGAGGTTCCTTAGTGTTTTCGTTACTAAGAGTTTGTGTACTGTAAATTGTGTAGACGTCGTAAATCAAGTTTGTGAATTTAATAAGAGTTGTTGCTTGAGAGTGGCATGACGAATGGGTTTGTTGAAACGTTTTGATGCTATAGAAAAATATAGGCTTTGCATATAGGTACATATTTATCCGATATGTAAACGAGACATATATAAACGTCAAAAAAGAAATACATATTAAATGCTTCTAATTTTAAATTTACTGCCAGTTCTCAAATCAAGGGCGTAGAACGGAAGAGAAGAACTGGCGATAAACTCTCCGCCGCTCTTTTTGTTCGGCAATTTTTTTGTTATACACAATGTTTGTAAGCAGCTGCAACCATTACACCATGTTCCACATGACATCTTAAGTAATTAATAGTTACACAAGTATATACAGTCTATACCCAAACTGGTAGATGTCTAACGACGTTTAAGCAGTGATTTATGATGTAAGGTCTTGCATTTGTGCCTATTTAAATAAATCCATTGGATGAAAGGAATTTTCTTTCTATGTGTCCAATTAGCACTTACGACACGTACACGTTAAGGAAAACGTGAGAAAACTGGCATATCTTATCCAAAATCAATGACGTGTGACATGGAAGGCTGATCTTCTAACCAATTTTTTTATAGGTGGTGATAGTCTGGATCTTTAATGGTATAATTTAATAAACATACTTTATAGAGGTATAATCATGAATAATACTAATAAAAAATTATAATGAAACACTCTCAAAAAATTAGTGAAGTGACTAAAATTGAAAACAAAACTAAAAAAGTGAAGTGATGGCAGAGCACTGGTCGTGGTTGACAGGCGGTGAGGCGGGCGAGTATACGTACAGCCCGCCCACGCGCCCTAGCCGCCCGCCCCACAGACCACTGGTTAAGCTCGCTACAAGCGCCCACCTTCATACAATCGCGAGGTAAGTGAAGTTCTTTCATCGTTGTCACAGTACAATTCGAAAAGTGTATCAGTAGAATTGCATAATTCCAAAATCCGTTGTGCAAACCAATCTATGAGTTTAAGCACCTCTCATTGGAGTTCTTCGCGAATACAACAGAATGGAAGTTACTTATTCAGATCTTGATACATTCGGCAGTGGGCTCATCGCTTCAAAGATTGCTCCATCACTGTTATCAATGAAGATTAATTACAACACGATACGATATACTGACAAAAATACAGTATATTTAGTTGCTATTTATGATCGTCGTTTTTGTTTCAAATTGAAATATGTAATAAAAACCTGTCAGCAATTTTAATGTGACATACTTGATTGCTAATATATTGCAGTATACTTTCTACAAATTACCTTTATTCACATGAGAAGAATTTTAAACATTTATTCATGTATATTACACGGTATTTGCTTCACAACATTTTTTCTGTGGTAGAATATTACCGATATGTTTTTATATGCAATGTTTGCATAGTTTATTACAATTAAACTTGGCGATAGAGGTAGAATTTAATATATTCGATATTATACCATAATTAATAAATTTCAAAGACTAGTTATGCTAAAATATGTTGTGAAATCTCTTGCTAATTGCATTGAAGCGAGCTTTAAAGGAATCTTTGAACCAGATCACGTTTCTGCATTGGGTCTTATACAAGCTTCTAGTTTTCAACTGGTCGTTTAGAATATTACATGAGATTGTTGATGAAGATATTATAATTTTTATTACAAATATAATGTGGTTTAAGAAACACATCAAAACATTATGAAGGTAGAAAAAATTCGTCACTTCTGTAAGGTAAAAGGTTTTACAGCGAGTAATGACGAGTTTTCGTCTACCTCTAATAACATGAAAGATGTAATTCTAATTTTAAATATGCATATTTAAAATTAGAATTCGATTGTTTGATCTACTTTTCGATCATTTGCATAATTCGGTACATAGCTCATTGAGAATACCTGGAAGGAAAACATTAGCAATTATTACTAAACATTAACAATAATTTTGATTATTTGTAGATAGCTTGCCCTGTACAATGCCATAAACTAATGAGTATGATTTTTAACATAGGCCACCATAACGGTCTCTGCTGAACATTCTGACAATATTAGAAAATATTTGACACAAAATCATCTAAGCTAAATATAATGAATACATTGCTTTCGTTAATATCTCTTTAATTAAATAAAGCTGTAATGTCTATGGCCCTAGTATTGGAATATTTTATATCGCTCGATATCTTAACTTATAAACATCATTGCAAATATAGTCGTTATAGACAGTACAAGACTGGTTACTTTCATACATAATTACATATTTGATGTCTATTAGATAAATTATAAATAACACGAAGGCTGGTAGCTTCTGTTTAGCATTAATTTTAAATTTTAACGACTTTAAAAAAATTAACGATATTTAAATTTCGTAACTTTTACGTTTGTCCTCAAATTCCTTGTAAATAAAAAATGTTGCGGTGATTTTAATAACGAACAAATAAAACATTTCAAGCTTTTTAGTCTTGAGAGCTTTTTAGGTATTTCATAAGGGGACAGATATAATAGGTATATTCGTTTTTAAAAAGATACGAGAGTCATAAGGACAAAACGCGGTTAAATATGGAGCATAATAAATAAATACTGTAATTACCATACAGATATTTTATGGGACCCTTCTGTCCACGAGTGTTGTACTCTCAGGCCCCATACCCATTTGAGGAGAGTACGTGTCTTATCAAGAAAAGTAATCTCTCATTACAGACACTACACATGTGACGTAAGATAGTACCTATTATTATTTTAATAAATATTAAATCAAATACAAGGCATGAATCTGATTTTACAAGGATTGAAAACGAAATCACGCTATTATTATAACAAAGTAGGGAACACACAATGAGTAATCGTATGTTGCCATACTCCGTAAGATTCGCGTCACGTAGTGTTGCCAGGGGAGGTATAAATATTTTCCGAAAATCGCGATCTCTTTTATATGTAAATTTTTATATTTTCCCGCCAGATTGCAGCGTGTTTGTCGTTCATTTTATTGTTTCGAAGATAAGCTCAGGTGTGTGCGGCGATGTGTGTTCGTATCGAATCGTTAAATTGAAATGGTTTGTTTGTTTTTTTAAAAGGTACGTGAAAATACGTAGATATCCCCTTTTTTGAGGTTATAATAAAATTGAATGTAACAATTTTCGTCCTACTGATCGTGTCGAAATATATGTATAAACTCGATATATGTACATATATATAAGACTGGTGATTTATTTATTGAAAAATACTTTATGATCCGTTCTTATGATTAAAATTATTGTGGTTTTGATCGTAATCAAACCTAAAACCTCGGAGCGAAACATAAAAATAATAAATTATTTTTGTGTATTATAAAAGTAAAACATTTTCATTACCTAACACATCTCAATTATTATGTTTTATTTTGTATTACTTTTATTATATTCCTTAAAAATAAAATTGAAGAATATAAATTTTTTCACCCCTGACAATTCTCTTAAGATATAAATCATTTCCCTGGCAGCGCACGGGAGCTGTCAGATCCACGTTCATTAGCTGACGGATTGCTTCTACGCCACGTCACTCATGACAAATGGTAAAAGTTGCCAGGAAAGAAAATTATAGTTCGTGTCAGGGGAATTTAACTTATTTTCATGAATTAATAGATCTGGCACAAAATACGATTTTACCCTATCCGACCTATGCCAGTTTTAAATTACAAAAACCACAAGGAATCATTTGTTATTTATTAACAAAAAACAAATCTGCGCCATGTAAACCGATATAAAAAAACCTTTAATTATTTCGTAGTATTTATCACACATATATATTTTTCTCAGGTCCTGGATCGTGGTCCTTTGTCACAGGATTTTCTGTTTCCGGTAGTCAATTTGCTTAGCATTTTCTATACGAAACATTTTAGTATTGTATCCATAAATGAATTAAAGACCTCTGAGCTCAACAAATTGATAAACGAATTATCCTACAAGGGCTATAATTATTTTCAATACAACATTTCTTATTCAATAGGCATAATAACATAGTATGACCAATACAAAATTGAAAACGCCTTGAATGATATAAAAAACTTTCTCAGCACGTCCAATTTTGGGTAGAAATTAAACTATTTCCGATCCCATGGCGGCACTTGTGGCGATTTGTCGAGAATCCACGTCCGCGACACATGGGGAAGTGAATCCCGACTAGTGAGCCGTATTATGTGATCGTGACAGAAATAGTTAGAATTGTTTTACGATCAATAGGGTTATGTATTTGACGAAGACGAGAAACTTTGATTGGTAAAAAGGAGAAGTTTAATGGATTTCTGGTGTGGCATTCTGATCCATGACATGTTCCTTGTAAAATTATCTTATAAGTGACAGTTTAATAGTTAATTTCAGAAATACTTGCTACATCCATACTAATAAATATTTTTGTATGCTTGTAACGAATGAACTCAAAACTACTGGACCGGTTTCAAGAATTCTTCCTTCATTAGAATGATCCCTGAGTAACAAAGGCTATATTATTGAAAAACTAATGTCGTACGAGGCGGGCAGGACACTAGTTACAAAATAATGTTAAAACGTAATACAATTTAATGTTTTTGAGTCAAATAAAGTAATTTTTATTAATTTTTTCATTGGATTTAATATATGTGATTTGTTAAATATACTTAGTATGTTAAATAAATCTTGCCAAGTAAAAGGATATCATCGTTTATATTCAAACACGTGAGCGAAAATCACTCTCCGTAGCAAGTACGAACCTATAATCCTAAATCACATACTGTAAAATCTTTAGCAACGATAGTATGCGAATCTATTCCCTAACTTAGAATTTATAAAAGCTATAGTTCTGTGAATGTTTCCATACACGATGACAAGCTGAAATTTTAAATTATGTGTCTTGAAGGTACTTATTTGGTCCCTCGTACATCATCGCTCGATCGGTCGATACACACAACTTTCGCCATTACTGCCTTTGTATTAAGATCGAACTCTGCGTAAGGGGTATGTATGTAACTCCTCGTGATTAAATTACATATGTTTAAATAAAAAAACTTAATGTAGAATATAATAAGCTGAGTGTAGATGGTTCGCCATTGTGCAAGAAATAGTCACTAGAATGGGTTCAAAGTGGGTCTGTTTGATAGCTATTGCGATGGTACTACACTCGAATCCTGTCAAAGGTACAGCAGAAGTCATGAGCCACGTGACTGCACATTTCGGGAAAGCGTTAGATGAATGCCGAGAAGAGGTATTATAAAAATTATAAGTCACTAATATTCCTTGCTTGTAATTGTATTTGTTAAGTTGGGTTTAAGTTATAGCTAAAACATCACAACTGGTTTAGTTTTTTAATGAGAAAAGTGTTATTTTTTATAATTATATTTTTGTTTTTTTTAACCAAAAAGTACTCCATTTTGAACTTTCATCTGCCAAAATATAACTGACCCCATCCCTAACTTATGGTTGTGTTTTGGATGGGTATTTATAAAGTTAAACTTCTCTCCAACTGTCTTATAAACTATTCTCGATGTATTTTAAGTACATTCTATTTGCTAAATATTATTTAGAATATTAACTTAATATATCTATTATGTAATCTAACTATACCTCACTTCAGTCAGGACTAACAGTGGATATACTGGAGGGATTCCAGAATTTCTGGAGAGAAGATTTCGATGTTGTACATAGAGAGCTGGGTTGTGCTCTGATTTGTATGTCTAATAAATTCACACTTATGCAGGAAGATGCTAGAATGCATCACATTAATATGCACGATTATATAAAGAGTTTTCCGCAAGGTGAGTGATGGTTACAGTTCTCATTTATAGTATTTAAATAATTCCATTCCTATGAGCGAAATTGCGACAAAATCTCTATCTCTATACCTATAGTATCTCACGCTAATCTATACCAAGGAGTAACGAGTCGATAATATAAAAAACTCGTAAGTTCTCCAGAGTCGATGCACATTTTTTCTACGCGATTTGGGTGGTTCTTTGAGTGCATCATTGTAAATATGTAAAGAAATATTGTTGAATTATCGAAATCAAATAAAATACCTACCTATTTTTTTATTTTATTAAATCAGTGGCGCTAAAACCACTTTAGGACTAGGCCTCATTTTTTAAATCTGTTTTATGATAATTTTTCAAACAATAGGTTACTAGGTGATCACCCTCCTGTGGCTGACACACGCCTTCGACTTCTTGAGTCTAAGACATGTCAGTTTTCTCACGATGTTTTCTTTCACCGTTCGAGCGAATGTTAAATGCGCACATAAAGAGACAGTCCATTCATGCACAGCCGGGGATGGAACCAGGGACAAGAGTCGCACACTAAAGCCCTAGTGGCTTTAGGCCAACACTGCTATCCTATATTTTTGCCAGCACCTAAAAGTTAAATTTCAATTATTGTATTTTACATGTGACAAAATCACAGAAACTTTTGAAGGCTTAATTTATTATATTTAGCTTCTTAATCCAGGTGAATTACTTTCAACAAAAATGGTTGATTTAATGCATAATTGTGAGAAGCAATTTGACGATATCGAAGACGACTGTACTCGTGTAGTTAAGGTGGCTGCTTGCTTCAAGATGGACGCGAAAAAAGAAGGCATCGCACCTGAGGTTACAATGATAGAGGCGGTTTTGGAAAAGTATTAATTATATATAAACGCTCTGATATTGTACATAAACGCTTGAAAATTAGAATGTGAAAAAACAAAACACTCGCAACATGCGCGTTTGTTTTGTGATTGGTTTATGGGAAAAAATGGTTGTACCGCGTCTATGAATGGTTAGTCCATACTGTTGACCAATAAAAATCAAACGCAATGCACCATTTTATCGTCTTTAGTTTTACCATAATATAAGATTCACCGTTATGTAATGACAATTTCTAGTTATTTATATAAGTAGTAGACAAACGGGCAGGAGGCTTACTTGATGTTAAGTGATAGCGCCACCCATGGAATCTCTCAATCCCAGAGCTATGCTATAATTAAAACACGACATTAACTTAAGTACTTTGCTTAATTGTCAGGTGAAGCAACGATTATTCAATATAATTACTGACCACTACTAAGATGCTAATAAATACGGCATTTAAATTGTGTAGGTTTTAGCAAAGTAATGATTCTGCAGAGTGTCTTTTATCATATTATAGAAAGATACCTAATATATAGATCTAAGTTACTAAGTAATTTATTTATCACGACCCAGGCTTGTATCATGGACTTGAAATTAAATGTGTATTCCTATATATTTTTTATTTACATTTTTCTAATAAACCACACCTAAACATGAAGCCACATAGGCTTGAAAGCCTATATTCCCACTAATGAAGCAGCCTAAAGCTCTGGCATCTTGTCTAACATGTGCTGTTATTTCCCATTTATAAACTATCAATTATTTTAAATATTCTCGTTGAACACAAGATTATTACACGATTTACTTACTTCGACATTCCAAACATTATCGTCGTAATAATAAAAACATTTATGTTGGTATCTCTTAAATATGTCAAAATAAGCGCGCCAGTAATCATTATTTTAATTATTTATTCTCTAGTAATATTTAAACCCATACATTATTGTCAAAGTCAATTAAATTCTAATATAGATACATTCCTTCCTATAAAAGGTAAAAAAAAAAAAAAAAAAGGAAGTAACAAAAGTGTCTAAAATCTGGTTAAACTGATTCAATAAAAAGGTTGACTTAATCTGGAATTGTATAAAGGAAAATGATAGAGGCGGTTTTAGAAAATTATTATAATTATGTAAAATAATCAAAGTCAAAGTCAAATCGTTTATTTCAATTAGACCATCTAAAATGGCACTTTGAACGTCAAAAAAAAAATATAAAGATGATACAAGCGGCCCTTCCAAAAAGGTAGTTTCGTGTGGAGAAGAATGGGCAAGAAACTCCACACTTACTTTTTAAAAATAGGTTTACAATATTATGTTACATTTGATAAATAATTTATGTGAAGAAATGTATTTAGTAAACTACTTTATTAGTATTCATGTTCTTATTTTCAAATATCGAAACCTTAGAAGATTAACATTAAAGAGAAAAATATTAAACACAAACAGTGTGTGAGATACAAAAAAAAATTTTTTTTTTTTTTTTTTTTTTTAAATTAATAATAATAAATTATAAACGAATTAAGTCTTTCGCCTAAAGCACAAATACATTCCAAATCTGCACCGGGGACAGCCGCGCGAAACCCCCCCACTCTACCAGACTCAGACTAACACGCCTATATAGTCTGTCTCACTCTAACGCGTACCGGCTGCACCGGATGTGAGACGTCACGTTACGTCATCGTGTGTTAGGTTATTTTCGTTACGGAATGTCTGGATTCGGTCTCCACGCTCAAGGCCCGCGATAGAAGTTATGCAATAGCTTAAAATACAATAATATAAAAAATGTGTTTTATGCTGATAAACAATGCATGATGTGTAAGATTTGGGAAATCTTTTACGTAAAAAATACCTGTGTCGGGGATCCCATAACACAGGGATAACAAAGTAATAATTAATTCCATAACAATTTTTGTTATTATTCAATTAGGTACAATTTTGAATATTTTTTTTAAATTATAAATAAATTATATTTTTTAGGTTACTAATAAATAGATAAACAAAAAATAAGTAGGTATTATATTTAACGTCTATGAAGGTTGACGATGATAAATATTTAATCATTGTACTACGTTCACCAGGGAATTTTCCCCAAGGTCAAAATTACGTGAGGTGTTTTTTTATTTTTTATGTTCTCCCCTGGTGAGATGTCGGAATTTTATTCAACCCCCCCCCCCCCCCACTCACGTGAGATTTTTCAAAAGTGGGTTGCTTACATACCCACCCCCCCAAGTTGTTATTGTAAAAGAAAAAAAAGGCTTCGGCTGCGTGCTTTTTTTTTTTTTCGTTTTTGTTGTGGAGGTGGGGGAGCTCCGGGGGTGGGCCCCCCTCCCCTCCCCCCTTTTTTTTTTTTTTTTTTTTTTTTTTGTTTTTTTTTTTTTTTGTTTTGTTTTGGGGGGGGTTGTGGGGGGGGGCGGGGGTGGCCCCCCCCCCCCCCCCCCCCTTTTTACAAATCGCGAGTTTTTTAAGAGAACCCCCTCTCCAACGTAAGATTAAATAGATTTGACTCGACCCCTCCCTTAAACACCTCACGTAATTTATGGACGCCCCCAAGGTAATTCGAAGTCATGACTGCGTTACAAATTGCAATAATTAACACTAAATCAATTAATTACGGAATCATTTCAGTTACTTTTTGAAGTTAGTACAATATGGAGGTAATGCAACAATTTAGTTACAGTATGGGTTTGAAAATGTTTGACTGTCGGGACAAGGTAAAGTACATTCCAAAAATAGTCCAACCAAAGTAAAATCAAACATCTTAGCTATTGTGTAATTTACCAATTTGATTCATTATCGCGTAATTAAAACAAAGAAAGAATCAAACACATATTTTTTTACGTAACAGGAAGCAAACAGGCAGGAGGCTCATGTGATAGTAAGTGATACAGCCGCCCATGGACAGTGGACACATTGCCAGAAGCCACGCGTCCCGAGATTGGGGACATATTTAAACAAAGGCAGTAATAAAGGGCAATAGGAGTTGTGTATAAAGTCATCAAATGTTTAAAGAGAATGGAGTTATTCATTGTATTTAAAAAAAAAATAACTTTCCCTATAAAAAATAAAAAATAAATCAGTGGCGCTACAACCACTTTAGGTCTTGGCTACAGATATCTGAATCTGTTTCATGATCGTTTTTAAATCTAATAGGCAAGAAGGTGATCAGCCTTCAGTGCCTGACACACGCCGTCGAGTTTTTGGGTCTAAGACATGTCGGTTTCCTCACAATAAATTAGTTCGAATAAATGTTAAATGCGCACATAGAAAGAAAGTCCTTTGGTGCACAGCCGGGGATCGAACCTACGACCTCAGGTATGAGATTCGCTCGCAACTCCACTAGGCCAACTCTTCTCTTTGTCTTACTAATACCCTAATTATTAGTAAGACATAGGGAAAGTCATAAGACAAGAAAAGAGCGTACCATTTCTTAAAAGGCCGACAACGCACTTGAGAGCCTCCTAACAATGTGAGTGTCCATGGGCGGTATCACATAACATCAGATGAGCCTCCTGCCCGTTTGCCTCCTGTAACATAAAAAAAAAACTTAAATCTTCTTTCTGAGTCTCGTATTTAATTAGTTGTTCTAATATAAAACGTTTAGAGAAAAAAACATATAACGAATTTTATTATATGATATTAAATAAATTTCGATGTAGCCATTTTTTACAGCTGGTACATTCACACCTTTTAAATGAGGACATAATAAAGTTCTGGAACAATGACTATATTTTGAATAGAACAGCAACTGGGTGTTTAATATTTTGTACTATGGTGGCACTTGACCTGGTCGAGGCTCGTGGTCTGATAGAAACAAATGCTGTGGGGTTCTTAACAGCAAAGGGGGCGGGTAAGGAGTAAGCTCAATGTATTAATTAATTATTTTTCGCCATTATTTTGTGGTATAAAAACGAATTAATACGAAAGTTATTTCTAGAACCAAAAAAGGTACCCAATCTAAGAAGCGTAACTTTGGACGAGTAGGAAAATATTAACAAAAATATCAAAATTATAAGTAATACCTTCTCAGCTTACTAGACAACTAGAAGTAAACATGATGTGTATATAATATCAGTAGTTGTTTATAAAAATCTTTGATTTTTTAATTTTATTTATACTCTCAAATATAAATAAAAAAAGTCTTCTATAACTCTTCTATAATTTTTTTTTTGGATTGCAATCTCGCTGTTGGCATGAAGAACATTGACAGCTCAGCTCGGGCTGTTTTGGCTGACGAAGCTTGGCTGAAATGGGCTTTTTCCGCGATTAGCCCAAGAGCGTCTCTTGCAAGGCTCGAACCTCGGCATGGGCCGCCGCGGCATGTCGTTCGCCTGAAGGGCAGGACGGCAGCTCTGGAGTAAGCTAAGTGCGAAATAAAGGACCGCCTTCCCCGGTGAAGGAGGGTTTTCCTATGACAATGCTTTGCCGCGAGAACGGCTTTTAAATTGTCATTAGCTTATGTTATTGGATCACCCGGACCCGTTAAGTCGTGTTGAGGCCTCCTACAGGTCTTTTGTCCGCAAAGTAAAATAATACCGTGCTTTAAATGCAACCGCAGTAGTATTTCAGGATGAACATCTCGCGGTGCTTAACTTACATTAACGTTAGGATTCTAATTAACACTTTAAAAATAACTTTGTCATCAAATTTGTTGTAGATGATAAGATGGTTAAAACTCTACTAGATCTCTATAGACAATGCGCACGCGCCGTGAAGCAAGTACACCACTGTGCCGCTACCTTGGAACTGGCAAATTGCTTTCGGAGAGGTATATGGAAAATTGGCTGGACACCTGATATCCAACCATTATTAGTCACCCGACGACGAGATTGCTAACTTGTATACAGTTTTAATAAAATAAACCTGTTAAATTTTTTTTACATTTATTTATGACTGAACCTCGACTTTGTTAACGAATATAATAATAATATAATATGTGAGCTGATTGTCTCTATCTAAATGTTTAAATCCGCTACACAAGACTGCGAACTGTAGAACCGACTTCCGGTGGGGGTCTTC